ATATTTAACTCCCTGAACTTCGAGGAGCAGTATCTCACAAATCCTAGCTGCTAGGTTTCCAACCAGCACGAAATACTGCAAAAACGCATGATCGCATGGTCCCGCCCGGTGCGCGTCGCCAATGATTATGCGTTTTTGCACCTAAACAGTGCTAAAACGCATATTGTTAAGCGGTTATCTGTGTGTGTACGTGTGTGTATGTGTGTGTCTGTTCCAAGTTTTCATTTCGAGATCTACAAACCTAAAAGGCTGAAGCTTTGGCAACTTAATCTACACATACGTACGGGCCCCTATCCTAAAAACAGACGCTCACGTCTCCGTGGTTCTTATGTATGGACAGATGGAAATTTTTTTTTAAAGGGGAAGTAATTTCGGAAACCGCGTAAGCTAGAAGGCTGAAACTTCACAAAGATATTCCTTGGCCATGTCTGATCCAACGATTTCAAACTCAGCCTTCAAGCACCATTAGATCTCACTTACCCAACATGAAAGTTTAAACGGGCACCGTGTCAACTCTAGATCGAACCTAACCAAGAAGCTGAAGAGAACTGTAATTTTGCAGCGCTACTTGTCACCCATTGGTGTGCCCGTGAAAGTAACTTGAGTCTTCCACCCCCAATGTCACGTGCGGACACATTGAAATTTCACGCAGACACTTTTTTAACTTCACAGCTGAAACAGTAAGAGAGCTGGCACTTTCTGAGCATAACCGACGGCGGCGTTAGACCAGGTGAGAGTAAAAACGACTTTCACGTCCCTTTCATGTCTCACATACGCACACAATAAATTTGATGTAACTCCGCAACCAGAGCAGCTAGAGCGCTGAAATTTTCTGCGTGTGGTCCAGGACCGTCTTTGAGCAAACGCACGCAAAAACAGCAATCACTTTCCCTTTCACTTACGAACAGGTGAAGTTGACGTAACCCAGCAACAGCCCTGTGCGATCCAAAAACACAATCATGAGCCAACGCACCGACTACCGGTGCGAAGATGCGTTTTTTGCACAGTTCTCCAGTGGGTTTTTGTTGCTAAGGGTACTGTTTTTCCCGGCAAATGCTTCTAGTTAAAAAAATTGAGAATGGCCACTATGAATATCAGAAATTATTACAGTGACTAGCAATCCTTGCTTAAATATTTAGGCACTTCAGATCGTCTTTTCCTCCCTCTTTTTTTTTTTTTATTTGTTTATGCTTTGAAAATTGAAAATATTGATATTATGTTGTTCTTCAACACTGCAACGCGATCGTGTCAATCCTCGTTTTATATACATTAATTAAAAGTTTAGTAACCCAAATTTGAGGTGTGGGATCCGAACGAGCTACGTATTGGTGAAGTCGCACAATCCGACGTGTTGATCATTCGAATAAAATCTGAACCACCGACACAACTGTTTCTCGGACCAAGTTTGGAGAGGAACACACGGTAGTTGGATCGGCACCCTTTCTTCACGCCATCATTATCATCAACCATCCCAGCCTTTTACATTGTGTGGACAATTATAATGCATTTCTGCTTCAGGGTTTCAAGCTTTTCGTTAAAAAGCTTGAAAAAATCTCCAGAACTTGAACTTAGGTTTTTTGAAAAAACTTCCGGACTGAGGCTAATCTAATCAACATATTCGTCAAAAGTTGAAATTGCAAAAACACAGACACCTCACATCGCTGTCCTTTGTAACCATCATCACAGACACAGGAGTAACTGTGAAACTCTGGATAGCAGATGCCATGTTCGCATGGAAAACTGTCACAAATATTGATTTGTTTCGAACAGTCGCTTCCAGTGAATCCAGGATAACAGTCGCAGTACATCGTGTTGTCAAGCTGACGGCAAAAACCGTGCTTGCAAATTGTGGTTTTGTTCACACACACTGCATGCACCGCACACGTTTCACCGTAATAGTCTGCAAACTAATGCATTTACAATTTAAACAGGGTAGAAATTACGACAGAAACGATTTTTTCCTTCAAAAATTAATTACTGTCTTTACGGAGCATCGCTGTCTTCCCACCAAAAGCGATTTGCTCTTTGCCAAATGTTTTAAAGAAATTTAAACTCCAAACGAAACGATGCTGGTTCCATTACGAATTCAGAACAAACCTGGATCACATCTACAAAAGTAATAGGGCAATAACTGATCGAAGTATTCGACACAGGTGCCGCCATTGCATCTTTCATACTCACAGATCTTCGCTTTGTCTGTGCAATACTCTCCATAATATCCACCACTACAGAAACACCGCGCTCTCCCGTCCCACAGCGCACATAGGGCTCCATTACTGCATTGCTCCTCTTCATCTGGTTCACAGCCATTATCTAGTGGGCACCATGTTCCCTCAGTGCCTAAAGAAATATTTTCAGCTACAAAATCACTGTGTATATTTTGGAGCCAGCCATAATAAAAGGAATTGAGTATGTTAAAGCCAAAGTTTTGTTCGTATTTGTTCTCCGCAAGCTATTTGTTGTGTCCGTGCGACACACGTCGACTTCGATTTTTATTAGTTCAACAGAAAATATCAAAACTGGTAGTCACGGAGCTCCGAGTCTGTGATTCTTCGGTTGGTGCTGACCGGGGTACCACGGTCAGCACGGTCCGTCTGGCCTTCCCACTCCACGTTCCACGAGCCGCTGTCGAAGCTGTTGCTGGGGAGACGTCGATCCTTGTTGTCGACCGCACAGTCCTGCCGATCGCCAACACACTCCCTAAACTTCTCCAGTCGATCTACGCTCCAGATCTGTGCACTGGAACGTTCTCGAAAGGGGAGAGCAAGGTCACTTGCTCCCAACACTATTAAAGCACTCGAAAATAGCCTAGACGGTAGCAAATGTCGGCAGCAGTAAAACACTGGCAAGCAATCGATGAGTACCTGCAAACTAATGACAACTTCGACTGTTTGAAACACATCAGTACCAACTGACCATCAAAACGAGTGGACGAATTGTAGAAGGATTTGTTGTCTCATATTTATAATGACGGTAAAAGCTGCAAGTGGTAAGTGATGTGAAATGTTAATTAACCTTCATTTTCGCACTGACAGTAATAGCTGTCGCCGGTATTTATACAAGGATAGGCGCTGCAAGGTTGATAGTCGCAGCTTTGGCGCAATTCACAGCTCTTTTCTTGCGTCATTTTGAAGCCTGATCGACATATACAACGGATGCCGCTGTAAACAGTGTTTACGCATATACCTAAATTTTTGCAAAATTAAAAGAAGCAGCGCCTGTTGTAAGCAAATTTTTTCATTCTAGCCGATTAATTTGAGTACTGAAGCTTACAGTCACTTGGTTTTCAATCGTCGCCCAAGAAAAAAGAAATTAGTGTCACATTCATTCACTCAGATGTAGCAAACGAAGCAAAAAGGACGCTTTCATGGGCTTTACCTCACCATCCCTTTACATATTTGCCAAATTAAAAGGAATATCGCTTGGTCGGCTGTGCTAGCAACTGCTCTGAACAACAGAACGTTGTAGTTTTGCCGCAGAAGAATTTCACTTTTTTATTTTTTGTTAAGCAAGACAGCCAATGGTCGCCTGTCTGAGTATTGCTCTGTATTCAGAGTTCAGTGCTCTTGAAAGTCCTCATTTAAGAATTTTAACACATCGCCTTCTCGAAGGTGGTCAGTCATGAGAAGGTGTTCGATAAACAGCCAGAAAGCGAGCACTAGCTGAGTTGGGGTGCACGTATTGTTACCAACGAGATTTTGTCAGAATATGATTGCGAAAGCAAATAAAAACATAATTATGACTTTGGCCCAGTGGCATTCTTGTGTGGCGCGCAGACGGAGGTTGGAGGCATTGAATACCAGGATTGCTAATATTGGCTAACTAGTGACGCTGCGTTGGTCACAGCAGCTATTGAAAGTTTGGCAACCCATTCTACGGTACGCCACGATGAAATGAAAGGTGATCAGAAAGCGAAGGGATAAAGAGTTCAATTGTGTGCGCTTCGAAAATAACGTTGTCTTCATGGAGAACGACGGGTGAAAAATGATCAAGCTCTTAACAGAGCTCAACGCGTTCCTGGAAATTAGCGTATCGGAAACGAATGCAAAACAGAGTGGAACCACGTTTGCAATCAAGCCGCAAGAAGTCAGTATTGAGATTGGAAGGCTTAATTAAACGCTTTAAAAGTAGAAGAAATTCGAAATTCGTTTCGTCAACAAACCCAAAGTTTTGTAATTCAATTTCAACAAAATATGTAAACAATACACAGAAATACTGCTACCAGCGAAATTTTGTCAGAATATGATTGAGAAAGCAAATAAAAACACAGTTATGACTTTGACCCAGCGCTCTCTTCAGACAGAAATGGATGCACGCACTGCTAGCCTCAGATAGGTCTGACACAACAATTCTCAAATGATGCAATCCTTTCGTTACAAACTAAGAAGGACGTGAAGCTGGATACCATTTTTGCAGAAATTGAGGCTATCAGAGCAGCGGATGATTGAAGATTCTGATCCATTCTTTGCTGTTATCGGCTGCGGAGAGGGGAGAAGTGGTAAATAAGCAGAGAGGCGCAGTTTACTTGATAACGCTCGAACAGTATTTGAAATTGCCTCGCTAGTAAAATGCTCGCTTGCAGTTCTGACTGATACCCTGAAAACTTATTTTATCAGCGTTACCGTGACTATCGCTTTTTTGCAACACTTTCATTGACTGAGTTGAAAAAGATATGATTTATGGCTGTTGAAAACAGTATACTTTAGATTTAGGGCTGAAAATGATATTTCTTAATTTTCCGATGATCTGCTTATTAAATACAGAAACTAGCAGCGCCATAATAACTAAGAAGCTGACGGGTTGTGGTACAAGTGTTAAAAGTCATAAATGGCTAATTTCAAAGCTTTTGTTCGTAGCACAGTAGTATTTGCAGGTAGGCGTGCGGATGTCGTGGTACTAATACTTCACATGGTATGCAGCGTACCTATACTGACAGGATTTGAATTAGCGGCACGGGAGCAACAAAACTTGTCATGCTTGGGTTTCTGTGCTTTCAAGACAGAATGTGGTAGCCATAAGCAGATCCAGGGTGGTTTCCTGGGAGGAAGGATGACAGAGGGTTCCAAGTAGACTTTTCTACAGTAAAATGCCTGCTACCTAAGCTCCTGGGGGGGGGGGGGGGGGGGGGGGGGAAAA